TTTGGCTGCATCCACTTCTCATTGGTTGAGGTCTCACCACAAAAGTGGGGCTGCCGAATACCCCCCCCATACGAATACCCCCTTCTTTGACTTAATGTAAGGTAGGTGGTTGGTTGAAGCTACTTTATAGATTGGGGACAAAGACGAATCGGATTCGTGATGTCATGCAATTGCGAACAGGCACAGCTTCAACCACTGAGGAGCTTTGGATTACAATTTACCTGGGTGACCCCAGCACTCGTGGAAGGATGGATTACGACAGTGGCATGTACTGAGTACCGTTTGTACCTAAGCACCTGCAGGTGCCCGCTCGGGACATCAAAGTAGAAAGAAGATAGAGCGGGCAGGTACTAGATCATTTCGTAGAAGGTTCGAACGGTTCAAAGCATTGATGTCGAATCATCATCGACAGCCAACCCCTCACTTACCTCTCACTTACATACCGTAGGTACTTACTCACTCACTCACTTCCACACGCAGCTACCACCTACCTTACTTCTATTGCGTGTTTTGGTTGGTCGGCTCGTTCGTTGTGTATGTACGCCCCTCTCGTCATATCAACCGATAATTGGTAATACGGTGTAGTTTCTGCCCATTTCCTCTCTTCACCCGTTCCCTTTAATCTTGGAGACGTCGCTAGCATCACCTTCTTTTCACCCACCTTATTTCATGAATTTCGCAAGAATCTTGCTCCGACCTTCCATAGATCGTGTCCTGTTCGAGTCTCATAGCCCGGCTAGATTTATATCGTCATCTGCAATTAGAGCTATGCCTCAATTCAAGCTTAAAGGTGTCTCCTCGCTGTCACTGCAACCCGGCGATAAGCAAGAGGTTGAAGTCGAAGGCATCGAGGGTGGCAAGGTGCTCCTCCTCAACGCCAGCGGCATAATCCAGGCCTTAGGGCCAAAGTGTACACACTACGGCGCCCCTCTCGCGAAGGGAGTCTTGACTAAAAGTGGAAGATTGACCTGTCCTTGGCATGGAGGTTAGTACACTACCACCCAGACTACATTTTCTCTCGTGATTTATATAACTGACAACCGTCTCCGATTTATCTAGCCTGCTTTAACGGCCAGACCGGTGATATCGAGAACGCGCCTGCATTAGATGCCCTGCCGGTGTTCAAGGCCATTGAGAAGGATGGTGGCATATATATTGAAGGCGAAGAAGCAGAAATCAAAGCAGCGAGACGAAAACCTAACTTCAAGTGTGCTATTAGTGACGCGGCTCGAGATAACAAAGTTGTTGTGGTTGGTGGCGGTAGCGGAGCAATCGGCGCCATTGAAGGTTTGAGGGAGAAGGGGTTCGCGGGACCAATAACCCTGATTTCCAACGAGGGCTATTTGCCCATTGATCGCACTAAACTATCGAAGGCCTTAGTAACTGACCACACCAAGATCCAGTGGAGAGATGACGCGTGGTTTGAATCCGGTTCGGTTGAAGTGGTACACGACGAAGTCGTTGACATTGACCTTGTAAGCAAGGCTGTCGTTACCAAGGGCAGGGAGAAGTATACCTACTCTAAGCTCATCCTAGCCACCGGTGGCTCGCCTCGAAATCTGCCAGTGCAAGGGTTTAAGGTCCTCGACAATATATTCCCATTGAGAACGATTCATGACACGAAGAAGATCGTCGCTGCCATTGGTGATAAGGGCAAAAAGATAGTTATTGTCGGCAGTAGTTTCATCGGTATGGAGGTAGCCAATGCGACGGCTGGCGGCAACGACGTTACCGTAGTCGGTCAAGAGAGCGCTCCGCTGGAGAGGGTATTAGGGAAGGAAGTAGGTGCTGGACTGCAAAAGGGGTTAGAAGGCAAAGGCGTTAAGTTCCACATGTCAGCCGGTGTAGACAAAGCTGAACCGTCTAGCTCAAACACATCCAAAGTTGGCTCAGTGCATCTAAAAGATGGTACAAAACTTGAGGCTGATCTAGTTGTGCTGGGAGTCGGTGTGGCCCCCTCGACGGGATATCTTAAAGATAATAAGGTGATCCGACTGGAGGAAGATGGATCCCTGAAGACGGACGAGAATTTTCTCGTGGCTGGACTCAAGGACGTATACGCGATCGGGGACATTGCCTCATATCCCTACCATGGCCCAGGTGGCCAAGGCAATTACACACGCATTGAACACTGGAATGTGGCGCAGAATCAGGGGCGCGTCGTAGCGCATCACATCATAAACCCGTCTCTGAAGCCAGAGTTTTTCACTCCGATATTTTGGTCTGCCTTGACAGGTCAACTCCGATACTGTGGCAACTCGGTAAATGGTTGGGATGAACTTGTCTTGCAAGGCAATCCAGGCGACGGGAAGTTTGTGGCATACTATTGCAAGGGTGAGACTGTGGTAGCGGTGGCTAGTATGGGCGTAGATCCGGCCATGGCTCAGTCGGCGGAGCTCATGAAGTTGGGCGGTATGCCATCAAAAACAGAGCTCAAAGGTGGGCTGGATATCCTCGGTGTTCCACTGACGGCTTAGGCGGGAGGACCCATTAATAATGAAGTTTATACACGGGATGCGATTCGTATGCCCACTGTGCCTTAGTTAGCGTCAAGTACGGGATGGTCTAGCAGTAGGTATTCAGGCTGCCAGGGACAAGACTGCCAGATTTATGTAAGCAAGTTAGCGCAAATGAAAATTACGACCGTTTCTCCTTTTCCCTCTCAGAGACGAATCGACGGACCCTTTTGTGCCGTGGTTCTTGATGCCGGTCATAGTGCGTACGATAAATTGATTGGCTTGTGAGTGCGTCATCGCACATGACTGCTCGACATCCTGGCTAGGTAAGCAGTACAAAGTATGTACTGTAGGTCTTGCGAAATGCACCCCGCCAGCCTGCCCATCAGTAAATAGCCAACTGCCAAGACGAACTGCACAATCAAACACGGTAACACCGGTGATTTGTCCATGTGATGGATGAGTCCCCAACCCCTTCTTAAACAGATGGGCGGTATTGGGGTATGCTTTGCCAAAGAGGTATATATCCCTTTACCTATTCATCTCCTCTTTGCCATACACACTTTCATAATCAGGTGTCTTGGACATCATGATAGGTGAAAAGGAATGACGAAGGTATTATACTATCACATATATAATATTTATTATCATATGACGAAGCTGTGCTACCTACGCATAGTACCTAGGATCATAGGTGTTAGAACGCCGGGGTGCTAGTGAGCACTCTAAGTACTTACTAGGTGTATACCTGTACTTAGAGATCTATTTTATTGGGTACGACTAAGTACACTGCCTCCTTCCCATTACCACGGAATACCCATCATCACGACTGGAAAGTACAATGCATACATTACATGTATAGACAAGACAAGGACCCCACTCGATCTAATCATCTCCCCCACTTCTACTTTCGACTTTCGACTTTCGACTTTGCATCAATCGACGACGCGAGAATCGACTTTACTAGCCCACTGGATTCAACTTCTGGTTTTTTTGTCCAATCTTTCGACAAATCCTTTCACTTTCCTTCCTTTTCTATTCCATCCCTTTTTGCGGGATCATACAAACTGGACAGACACGGCTATTAAGACAGCCTCAATCCTTATTTTATTTCATTTTAAATAAACAAATTGCTTTCCAGACGGACGCGCCGAACGGCGCATTTCGCTAAAAAATCAAAATCAAAATCAAAATCGATCCACTCAGCACTTCGACCAACTCTGCCATCGTGTCCTCCCTTCTCTTCTCCCTTGGCAGGATACAACAGAATACGATAACGATAACGAAGAGGGAGTACTGGGAAGTTAGAAGTATTAAGAACTACTCCTGATACTTACATAGCTCCTCTCGGCACACATCCGTATCCATATCCCACTCCAGCATGCTGATCTCCCAATCGTGCACGCGCAACCAAGCGACCGTTAGCCACCGTCATGGCCGACCCTCTTCACCCCGCTGCGGTTGTTTCCGGCAGCCGTGATGACGACGATCTTTCTGCGACATGTCACGAGCCGGGGCCTATGAAGTGTTGTTGTGGTTCAGTGGAGTGTGTCTTCCTGAGACACAATTGCTCTGTCCTCGCTAGCGTCGAGAAAGACGTTCACACGGCTGCTCGAATGGGCCAGGTACGTTCTCCCGATATTTCGTTATTTCGTTATGTCGTTATGTCGTTATCTTGTTAGTTAGTTATGTAACGTGGTCACGAAGCTATGGCCATCGCTCAGTTGGCTAGGCTTAAGCCAACGGCTTTCTTGAGTGAGGAATCGTGTCTAGCTAAGGCTCACCAGCTTCCTATGCTTCTTTGCTCTTCCCCACTATGAGTCCTGAAGTGAATGGCTTAGATATACTACTACTTTGGGAATGTGTCTTTCCTTCTTCGTTGCGATATATTGTTTCCGTCATTCCACATTCCACATTCCGCATTATTTTCCTAATAACAACACTTTACATCATCACCGTCGTTATGGGCGCCTCTAAGTCTCTAACATTCGCTTTGCAGGCCCTGCTCGCCCGCCACGAAGCTTACATGGCCGATGCAGAGCGGGATCGCACCGAGCTTACCGCCCGGATTGAACAGTTGGAAGTCGATAACAAGGAGCTCGAGATTAGGAACGCGAGAACGATCGAGGAGAATAGAAACCTACTGGATCAACTTGAGACGCTGAACACTACCGTCGTCGATTCCGAAGGTCGCATTACGTCACTTGAAGCCACCTTACTCTCTTCGCAGCAGGCAGTCCGCCGCCTAGAAGGAGAAACAGCGCGTGCTGCCGCTCTAGAACGTCAGCTTGCAGCTCTGGAGCAGGAGCAAGCCGAGCTGCAAAGTTGCCTGAGCATGTCTCGGGAGGAGGCCCGATCTGCCGTATCAAGATGGAAGCGAGCTGAACGAGGCATTAATGATTTGCAGGAGCAATTGGAACGAATGGAGAAGGAGGCGAAGGAAGAAAGAGAATACCATGTCGAGGTAATGGGACGTATAGAGAGGCAGCGTGAAATGGAAAAGGAGTTAAATACTGCCGCCGGTCGACTAAAGGGGGCCGCCGCAGCCAAATCAATGGATCGTGGCCCCGGCATCGGGAGCAATGCGGTGTCGCATTTCGTCCGCGACCTTCTCCAAGACAATGCTAATCTACAATATGGTATAGCCGAGCTACGGGAGATGTTGATGAATTCCAACGATGAGATTCAGGCCCTACAGAACCAGCTCATGTACCATCAGCCGTTGGGAGATGACCAGAATAACGCCACCTCAACGCTGAGCGCGGAGCTCAAGTCTGATAAAAATTCCCCCGGAGAGAAGAAAACGCCCAAAACTCCCAAAGAGCTTCATATCCATCATCATTATCATCTGCCGAAATCGAAGCAAGAAGCGAAGAAGCCGCGGAAGAAACGGCAATCGCTCACACCTGGGATATTCACGCCGCCTGGAAGTTTTGTGCCCAGTACACCACCCAGCGGGCTGATACGGCATCAATTTGGATCGCATGCGCATAGGGATTCTTTGTTATCCAATTACTGGTCTGCGTCTGATTTTACACCCTCCTCTGTCCCTAGTTCGCCTTGGTCAAATCGTCGGAATTCTCTATTTGACCATCCCATCGAGTCATTCCCTTGCTCGCCTACTACTAGTATCGACCCAACATCTCCTACGTGGCACGCTAGTCATCAGAAACAGTTTTCGAATATATCATCTCGAAGTTTTCAACTGCCTGCAAACCCAGTCTTCATACAGCCTGCTGTCACGCACAGTCACGCGATTATCGAAGAATCCGATGACGAGGACAACCCTCCAGATCTAACTTCAGCGACAGATGAATCTATTGCAGATGAGGCGGCATCGTTGAGAGACGGCGACACAGTGACTGAAGAGCTTTCGCTTAATGATGACGCAGATAGTCGTCAGATGCCGCTGGTTCGACTGCGCAGACCATTGTCGCATGAATCGGTGATATCGTTGACGGGGGGGCTTGACATTCACACGTTGAAATCTCGGCCTAGCCAGCTTACGATTGGCCAGATAGGTTCTGCCTCTTCTGTAACGGGTAGCAGCATTGTCATAGCACGACCTATGCTGTCGCGCGACAACGCGAAACGAAGCAGTGTGGTGTTACGGGAGAGTTATGGCACCTCGCCAGTGGAAAGTATGAATTCCACTTCAGATTCATCCATGAGAGGCCTCGGGCCGTCGAAAATTGGCAGATGGGTAGGTTGGAGGCCCTGGGGAGGGGGAGGGGGGAATTCTAGTGCAAGCACCGCATCAAGCAGGATTATCAAAGAGAGGAATAGCCAACAGTCACTAGGTCGCCCTCCGGGTATCAATCAACCTGGTGCAATACCTGGTTTTTCGGAATACGTAGCTGCAGCGCAACGAAGGACACCGCCAGCCAAGATCCAACCTGATAATGTAGATCGTGACGCGTTGAGAGAAGGTCTCGACGAAGGCGCACTTAGCATACAGTCCTCCGGTTTCCCTTCGGCCCTAACCTAGGTATCGAGATGGTCGAAGCACACATTTGCTATGATCGACATCGTTATTTTCTCTTTTTTTTCTTGTTTAATCAAATATTGTATAGTATATGGACACCTGCGTGCTCCAGGGTGTGGAGTTGCGGAGCCCCAGCTATCGACCTAGACGAAAACCACGTGTTCGTGCGTAGCAGGAGAGGCGTTGGGCGGTAATTTGCTGTTCTCTAGGACAACCCTGACAAGGCACGGCGATATGGGTTAGTCAATATACCACAAAGTAGGAAATCGCAAGCAAAGAAGCCCAGGATAGAACCTAGGGCAGAGAGCGCGGATATGATACCCTCCAAGACAGCTAGACTGCTTGCTAGCTCTTGATATTTGTTTATTTTCCCTTTGTTCGTGTTATTCTATATTAGAATTACCTGCTACAAATATTGTTAGATATCTCATGTACTCCTAGTCCTATACTTTGTAGTATGTACTATACAAGATGTGGGATATATACCTAAATGATAGGGGTAATCGAATAGCGAGGCGACCTCAACGCTAACAAGCATACCTAGATAGAAGAGAATGTGGAAGTAAAATATCATATTGTACGTCTACTAGACTAAATAAAAGAACAAGGTGTCACTCAATGCTATTGTTTATTTAGCTCGCCAAAAATCATCCGATATATACCGGAGCAAAACGAGCTGTGGCTACGTAAATATATATATATATATATATATATAGTGCTCGGGTACGGAAGTTAGGTATCTCAATCATGAGCCAGAGCGCAGTCTTTTCCCATCCGTGACGAATAAAAAATATTCCAACATATACCTAGGTACCTAGTAGTACCTAGTGATTAAAAGAGACAACTCTATACCTCTATAGAATGTAGGACACATAGAATAGTAATTGAAAGATAATCACCCCTACCCATCCTCGGTCTATAATCTGTCCTTGATACAAGGGAATCTGTAACAATCGATACTAACACGCATTGAATGGAAGGGGCATTTTAGTCACTATGAGTCTGGGTTAGTTACTTGGACGGCGTTCTCCAAACTTATTAGGGGAAGCGCAAATTAGAACGTACTAGATTTCCTTAGGTGCCAGCAAATCGGCTTGGTATAGCCAGTGGTTATCCTTCTCCTCGGCTTCAAGCCAGTCATAGGGGAATTGAACAAGTGTTCCTTGGATCATACCACAAAGCTCATCTGCCTCATCGCGGCTGAGAAGCTCATACGGGAAGACGGGCCCTCGTCGACTACCCTTAGTAGTGGCTCGTCGGCGACGTCTCGTCGAGTTGTGATTATAGGGATTTGTCGTGGTTCCGGATTCCGGTGCTGGTTTCTCACATGACGAGAATGTCGCCCTCCGGTCTCGTTTCTCGCTTTGAGGATCCAAGTGCGCGGTGTCAACTTGGCCATCGTATGATGGGAACGGAATATCTCCGGCGGGTTGTACTGGCGAAGGTGGTTCGATAGAATTCTTCGTAGGAACCTTTTCCGCCTCGACGCCGAGATCAGATCTCGCGCTCTCCGGAACATGGCCGCCTTCAGACATGGACATCTTTTCGTTCAGGGCACCTGTGTTTCCGTTGGATATGATAACCTTTGGATTGTTCTCGTTGTGCTGGTCAATCTGAAGCTTCTCGGAAGTTCCAGGAGTTCCTTGTGCCGCAGCGGATGCTGCAATGCCTGCTGCCGCTCCACCAAGGTGACTCATTTGGGGACTGATTTCAGATTCGTCGTTCCTAAAACCCGCCATACCTTCTTTGAATCGACGCGCATAGTCCTCAAATTCGTTATATTCCTTCCATGTAGTTACATCACTGTCAGGCATACATCTAAAAACTCGGCGATACAACTTGGTGTTATTCGATGCAACCCTCGTCCAGATATCATCCCAAAACGCAGGGTTAACTGGGTCGCGCATACAGTCCTTGTCGACTCGAGCGGGCACAATATCTGCAACCAGGAGGTTCAGTGGCTCATTCGTAGGCTTCCCGAACTCGTCTAGGCGCATTGGGGGACCCCCTATATCAGTATCATCCAGCACCGGTAATGGTGAAAGTTGTCCATGCTGTGGTAACTGTGGCCTGGCTGGAGGGTCCAGCCGGACCGGGGGAAGTTCTTCATTGCCCTTGCCAAGATCACGTTGAGATGAACCTTTGGAAGAGCTTTCTGGATGCGGTTCACCGGGTTTTGTGTCCGGTATATTAGAATGGCCAGCTCTGTGAACAAGGACCTCGTGTCCATTAATAACAGCAGAATCATTCCCCAAATCAATCCCTTTGGCTTGCGCTGCTTTCCAATGATCCGGGCCATAGCCCTCAACGTCCCTATCATGTTTCTCATTTCCGTGTATCCGGGGGTCACGTTCTGGCGACTTGCCTCTCGAACTGGATGAGGAGGACGGCGAGGATGAGGCGGAAGATGAGCGACCACGTTCTTCCGTGGCGACATCATGGTTAAAACTTGTCGCCCGGTGGAATGTACTCGGTCCCGCATTAGCTACGGTCGGGCCTTCATCATCATCTCCATATATTTGACTCATTTCAGCCTCGAAATTCGCTTCCGCACTGAGCTCTGCTTGTCTCTCCTCTTCTGTTATCTCATCTACATCAAGCCCAAGATGTTCCCTCATCAGCCTCATACGAAGGGTGTGGGCAAACCGACCGACTCGGTAAGTTTCGCCAGCCATCGTCGACCACATCATATCAGTATCTCGAACGATAGCGGCAACCTCCGAGTCCCGGTTTCCCAACATTGACCTCTCGTTGATATTGGCCGATCCTATCAGGACCACGCGATCATCCACGATGATAGTTTTAGCATGGATATATAGTTGCTCCGTTACCAGTTGACTATGAGCGCCGATTTGGCCCCACTGTCTCAGGCTGAAGAACGAGATATAGTCTTCCGGCTCTATGCCCACTGCTTGTAAACGGCCAAAGATCGAGTTCGGCCCCCTGCAGATGCTTCGGTACTGGAATTGCATAATTAAACGTACGCTGCTCCCTTCTGCCTGATCTACTGTGTTTTGGAAACCGGGCATAAGGGGAATCAGAATACAACACCGCCATTCTTCGTCCTTCTCGTGAGCTCTGATGATGCGCTCGACAAGGGCATCGCCGATGCGATTTACCACTCTTGTGTTCATTGTCTCGGTGCTCGTAATGAAGAATTGGTTTTCCATGTAAACGAAGTGCTCGGATTCTTCGATAAGCTTCACGTATGCTGACTGTATACTATGTTCCCTCAAGTCTTTCGGGTATCCCAGGGACCAATCGCCCGCCGAACGCAGGATCTGGACCTCGCACGTTCCGGAAAGTCCGAGAGCCTCGAGATCAACTGGATTGGCGTCTGGGGGAGGAAGCAAGAACGGCGTCGGCCGAGTGGGCTTCCGCTCACGTCGTAAGTAATTCCATCGCTGTACAAAATGACGAGTGAGATCACGGGCCGGCTGGCCAACAACTTGCATAGCAATATCATGCCAGGGCATCCTCGGGACCTTGCTCCTGTCATACATCTCCTCGTAAGGCTCATTGAGCTTGAAGAAGTCAAGGACGCGCGGGTTCGAGTAATCCTTGCCGGGGAAAAGTTGGCAGTGCTCTGCATCACGGGGGCGGTCCCCGTCCGGTTCCATACCCGTTGGTCGATCGTCCGTGATTGGGTGTTGCGGGTTATCCCACCGGCCAAAACAAAGATCGATGCCACCGAGGAAAGCCACGTCATGGTCGACAATACAAACCTTCTCGTGGTGTGCGTAGAAAAACTGGTTTTTCTTCAATTGATTTGGTGATCTCAAGACAAGAATATTATCGTGGAGGTTAAGAAGCGAGAACTTCGTGTACTCCGAGTCTATCGGTATGGCCTGTTCCACGTTTCGATATATGATGATAAATACCTTCACGCCTTCTCTGGCTTTCCTCTGAAGTAGACGGTCCAGACGCCACTTCTGGCTAATGCAGGCTGGTCGCCGCATGTATAGCTCAGGGCTCAACCACCAATCGTGGATGTAGATGACATCTTGTGCCATACTTATGGCACGAGAGACATTCCACATGTAATCTCGTCCGTCGACCAACCACTGAGCAAATGCCGCTTTTCGTACGGGGGCGAAGCTATCAAATCGGTGACGCTCATGCCACTGAGTCTGCTTCAACATGTCGACGACAGACTCTTCGAACTGACGTAGTACTGTCTGATTGCGGGAGAACAACTTGATCTTCCGATCTGCGGAATATAGCTTCAGGGTGTGATGTTTCCCGCGAGACTCGTCATCGGTGAGATGATTATCATCGTTATCACCTCCTCCTCTTTCCACCTCAACTTTCAATTTCGCGCCAAATCTCTTGAGGGTATTTTTCTTGGATACGACACGGAACAGAGGGTCCACGAGGTAGACATCGTATATATTCATAGTTGCCGGCGACTCGACGACTGCGACATAATTCTGCCTCACAAGAAACCATTTACGACTGTGACGTGCTATGACTTTTTGCGGACTAAGCACTCGCCTGAAGTCAATACCTTTGGTTGATTGTATGTGCAGGTAGCATTCCTTCCCATGAAAGCTACCCTCCGCAGCCAACCGCACGCCGAGAGCAGAGAGCTCTAAGAATTTGCAAAGACGATTACTGTCAGCACGGAACATGAGCCAGTGCACCATCTCCTGCAGGTATTTTTCTAGAGTTTTCCTCTGCCGCTCGATGTATTTCTTCTTCAAGGCAGCGGAATTCTGGATACTAGCCAGTGACGTTTCGCCGTTTTCCCCAAGCCCCGAAGATTGCCGTCGTGGCAAAAATGTGTTGATACGTGACCTCTTCCTGTGAGCGTTCGGCCGTCTATCATTATCACTAGCCGTGCCTTCGGCGGCAGTCCCTTCTCCCGCAGTACCCTCAGCAACTGTCTCGTCAGCCCTGGTTCCTGGTGGCTTCTCTTCATCATCGGACTCCTCTAGGTTTTGGTAAGTTCTCAGATAAGGAAATGCTTTTCGTGGAAATCGAGGCTGCTTTGGACGATTCCGTTGATTCGTGGTAGTTTGAAGTGAGATATCATTCTTCAGAGAAAGCCTGTACTTCCAATGGATGTTCCAGATCTCCCTAACGCTACGAGTGACAGTCCATCTCATTCGGCTCAATCCACTCCCGTACTCCAGAGCGATCGTAAATATGGTGTGTCTTTCACTGGTGCTATCTTCAGGACGGCTGTCTACAACTCGTAGATTTAGTTGTTCTAGGAGGACTGGTATGCGTTTGTTCCCATGTTCATCTCTCTGCAGCATACTAGCAAGTATGACAACGGCCGGCGTCACGGCTCGCAATTCGGCCATGAGTTCGGCGGACTTGTAAAAATCAAATTGGTCTGTCTTCCTCTTCCCTAACATTTTCAGCGTGTGCTTTACCTGTTTCCACCTTTGCACACCAAACGTTGCAGCCCGATCGGCACCCAAGAACGGACGTCTCGGTGTTGCTAACCAGTCACCGCCATCAGACGTCCCACCTGCGCCAAACATCTCAGAGATGCGGCGCCGGTGGCCAGGGGTACGGGGTTGCACGTTCTCGGCATCTTCAGTCGAGGGATTTCCGGCCCGTGGCGAACCAATCCACGAACTGCCACGCGTCCACGTAGGCCTTCGACCCGTTAAGTGGTCGCGACCCTCTCCCTCAGACATACCACCACGATGCTCAGCGGGTTCGGGCATCGTCGAGCGTCTGACCATGGTATTGAGGCGGCTTGGTCTCGGAGAATCGAGGTCATCGGGGGGCCTGGGAGAGCTCGGGGCGGTGAACATTTCTAACTGCTTAAGGCGACGTCGCATTCTCCTCCTTTTACTCTTAGGTGCGTCTCTATCATGACCTTCGTCAGCGCTCGCCTCCACATCGGCATCACTTCCCTCCTCCTCATCTAAAGTATCGGGAACACGGTAGGATCTGCCTGCGACGGGAGACGCGTTAACCGAATAGGATGTCTGTTCAGGGACTCCTGGAGACCGGGGTGGCTGTATGGTCCCCGAGTTACCCAACGTTGATCTTAGTTTTGAAATCCACCTCTCGCTGCGAGATCTGTTTCTCGGGTCCCCTTCGTCCCATGATCCATGTCTAACATGTTGGCGTGGAGGGTCAACTACAACGTCGGCGCGAGCAAATTGTACACTACGTCGTCCAGGAGAGGTCGGCTCTTCATGTGCGGCAGCATCTCTTTCCGATACTTGGACCTCGGAATTCCTCAGGGGTGATGGAGATCGCAAAACCGTCGGTTGGCCCAGAAATGAGGATGAGGTGGCGCCAATGGGGGAGGCGTTATCGTGCGGCCGTCCTCCATTGAGATAATCAGTCGGTTGCTCGGAGTCCGACCTGGCGGGAGAGGGAGAATGGGAAGAAGTGGCATCAGGAGGTGGTAGGGGATCGTTCGTAGTAGGAGATGCAGAGGATGGTGGGTTGAGGCGTGTGTGTAGTAGAGAAGAAGTTCGAGGGTTCCATGTCGTAGATGAGACAGAATCGTCGTGGTCCAGAGTAGACATATTCCTTATAAAGTCAATGATTTCCAATATTAGAGGACGCGATGCTTATATTGCACCTCGAGTTCAGTCTAGGTCTACCGATTCGACGGAAGATCCAGACTTCCCTGCAATCTGACGGTATTCTCTCACTTGCATAGCATTGCCATTCTTATAGGGGAGACAAGCCAAAAAAAAAAATGAGGTAAGTCGTTAGTTTTGAGTCTCAGTAGTATGCATGTAGTATGTAAGGTTAAAGGTTGAAACGTCGTAAGATAAAAGGGAGTCGAATAATTAATAATTACAATAATTAGAAAGTCAGTCGCGGTTCCCTATTTCTACGTAAGACCATAGGTAGGGAGATCTGCTGAGAGCAAAGAGCTAACGTTGTTGAGGGACCAATTAAACTAGTTCCCGACGAACAAGGGTCGACCTAGGTAGGTACTAGGTACCCACGTGTATTATCGATAAATCTCGGCTTAGTTAGTACCTACCTACCTACATAATTTACCTACCTACATGTACCTAGGGAGTAATTACATCCATGTGTTGGTAGACTGTAGGTAGGTACTGCATATAACTAAGTATCCAGTATATACATAGATAGAAGAGATGGGACCAACTACTTAGGTAAATATTTAGCATAAGAACTACATAATAAAATAGGTAGTCGCAATTCAAATACAACTTTCTCCCGCCGTTGAAAATACTAGGTAGCTGTTGGGTTGTCGTTAGCTACTAGGTACGTATTGTACCTAAACAACTGCATGGTCTTCCAAGGTTGCTTCCTCGCACAAGCGCCTGTCACTACCTATGTAGGTAGATACCCTCTGTCTAGTATCTCGCCAGTGCTCTCTACAATAGCGAAGTTGTTAATTCAGAAGGTATTTTGGGGAGATATCTAGATGGTATAAAACTCAAGGTTAGGTAATTAGCAGTTCCGGCCTAAGTACCAATAACAGATCAGGCCACGACGGTGGAGCCATGAGATGTCTCGAGTATAGTATTCATCATCCTACCTAGGTACGTAGTAGGTAGGTAAATACACAGGCACCTAATAGGTATCCATACGCAATCATGAGATTTCGAGGGTTTTTGTGATAACACTTGTATTTTTTAAATATACCGCAACTATTAACATGAGCCCCCTTATTACAAGTTCTATCACGGAAATACTCCGTGCCCTCCTCCTTCCCCCCTTCTCCCCCCCTTTCCCCCCTTTCCCCCCTTTAGTAGCAAAATATTGAGCTTTTTAATTTCTGGCGCTACTCCCTCTTCAATGACCCGACTGGAAGATTGAAAGGAGTTATACCTTCTCCCCATAAGCCTGCAGTACCTGCCCAATCTGCTCTCGGGTTAACACGATTCGTTCTCTTCGCGGGCCAGAGGGGAAGTGAGGTGCGATGAGATGTAGAACTTACAAGCCAAAGCCGCCGTGACAAAACCGGTCGCGCTGGCAGCCTTGAGACACTCTTCTTGGTCTAGCATATGCCCAGCAGCCAAGAGGATTAGTGTCAAGTCGACGAAGATGAGAGCCCCAAATAATGTCCAGGAACTTCGAACTGTTGCCACGGTAAAGATCATACTAATGATAAACCAAGCCCAGACAAACATCGCTATCGCCTGGTCAAATTCGGCTAAGAGTTTGCCTGTGGTGGGATCGGAGTACGCCGCCATAATACCGCTTCCGGGGAGGAAGATTAGGGCATAGGCAAGGTTGAAGGCAGCATAAGACGTAAACAAGGTAGCTCCCAACTGGCAAAGAGAAGATGAGCCTAATGTCAGACAATTTATACCGGAGAGCGTTAAGGACTCGAGAACATACAGTATTTCCAGCGACGAACTCCATGACCCCAGCAATGAACTGAGCGGCCCCACCAAAGAATACCATGTTAGGGAGGATAATATTAGGTACTTTCACACCACGTGGTTCGAGCCCGAGGAGAGATATCATGAAGATACTTGTAGCGAAAGACAACAACCCCAGAGGCGCCGGGTTGGCAAAGGCTCGAGGCACATAAGGCATACTGGCCTGGTCGCGGGGCGAGATGGTCGCCTGCTTCTCTAAATCGGTTGCCTTAGCGTCTGAGATCGACATCGTGATAGACATCGAGAGAATATCTAGGGTACTAATGCAACGAAGGAGAGTTATGCGTCTGCAGCTTTTGTGCGGACCAATATCGAGCACTACTGGTCAACTGCTGGTATTCACACCTAGTGTGGTGGAAAGGGATATTGGGAACAGGTTGCTCAAGGAGATAGAAACGATGCAGGTAATAGGAGAGATGGAGGTAGGTGAGTTTGAGAAGGGTAGCATCACTGGCTTATCATTGAATTGAAGATATATCTGACATCAGCCGATACCTAGATATATGATATGAGAACAGCCGTTTTCAACAAGTTATTCGATAGGAGTTATAATAAACTCAGCTCTGTTCGACTGGGAAAGAGTCTAGACCTGGGAGTTGGCTCTTCCAGCTGCTACCTGCCTCCCATGTCTTCCAGGGTTCAAGCGAGTCTTTCATAGGAGCAAATCCTACCTACCTACCCAGTTACGCAAGCCGCCTGGTTTCAATATCAGGTTTTAGATACGAGTCAAAAAAATTGGCACTTCCCCTGTCTTTTCTTTAACAAACGAACGTACCTCTCTAGCCGGGTGTAAAATACCAGTCTCTCATAATTGGACACGCACAAGAAAATTTGGTTATTCTGCACATTGTGGTCTATAGAGATAAATATGGACTCCCTCAATAACATCTCTGAGAAAATATGGTTGAAAAGGGGTCATAGGGATCTAATGGTCTATGAGAGAGCTGGATGCCTGTATAGGGAGGTTAACAGGGTGTAAAGTTATGGTAAGCACTTTGTTTCTGTGCGTTCAAGAAGGGATGTGGGATAACAATATCAGGCTCTTCATTTAAGGTTGACTCCCCGGATCCCATGCTTCCTTAGCACTTAGGTATCCTTCTCCCCTGCCTTGCCTTGTAGTGATTCTTGGCATGTCACGCATTGCGTCTCCAGAATCTCTTCGACGGTCTTCGTTCGCTCCGCGATGTCGTTGCAGGGGAAGGATGCCCGGAAGGATCTTTCCCCCAACCCCCCACACGAATCTGATTTCCACATACGGCCAAACACCCCTGCGATTCAGCGTATGAATTTCCTGTGCCGTAGTAATACCTATGTCCTATATGACCACTTTATTGGCGCCATGAATCTAGCAGAGCATACCTATCTAAGGCGGGGAAGGAATTGTGAAAATGATGAAAGCTTAGGTGAGAATCCTGAATCCTATTAATTATTAATTATCAGCTATTAATCATTCCAGTACCTAGGTACTTATATCTCACTAGGTGCATGGTATATGATAATAATGTAGGTAATATCCTATGTAAACTGCGACTTGGCGTAATCATCACCTACTTGAATCTGACTTCATAACCATGTACCCAGACAGGAAAGTAATAGGAAGGTAATCGTACCTAGTCTGCTAGTCTATACTACGAGCGTTATACTAGTTCTTAATTAGAGGGTCCTCGACTGCCGTTAGCTAGCAGGCTAGTAGCTTAATGAGATACAATACAGCATCCATGAATACCTCACGCTACGGGAGCCCACATTTCCCAAGGGAGGAGCCGTAAAGGCTATGACTTAAGAGGCAAGGAGGGAAAGAGGGAAAGCCCCCCTGGTCTCCTTGTGGAGATTTGTTCGGGGAATACCTGGGCACGGAGATCAACAACGCTCAGCCCCTCCAAAATCCATCCCGCTGCATATCATGTCCTAGCATGGGGTTCTTCCCGTTGCCACCGATGTATTGTAGTGTATGTACAGAGTCCGTACTTCGACGGCTATGATATCTATTAGAGCCCGTGCCCAGCCCGCCAATACATACCTACCTACCTAGTATGTGTGTCCAAGCTCTCCATATCCCTCTCACTATAGGTACCATTGACTGCCTGATACCTCGGCTGATCGACTGTAAGATTCTTAAATCTCCATCTCCTTGGAGTATAATCGCTCTTATAAGTTCTTCAATTCTGTGTCTTCTAAAGTAGTAGTTTATTTTCCTTGCGTTTGGAATGCTTCTACCTGCCACCTCCTGTGTGTCATATCTAGGCTCGAGACGAATTGTAGTGCATGGAATTGTCTGGGATGGCCTTTTTTTTCTCCCCGAAGTGAGCACGAAGCCCAGGATTCCCTCTGAGGTAATCGAAAAATTCTGTACATAGTAGTGCTACACAGGAATAATCACGCATGTACGATCCTTTTTCAGGTCTTTCGAGATCTGCACAGAACAATGGTACATAATAAAAGCACTGCAGCTCTCGTTTGGTCAGTGGCTGCCAGTGTCGTACAGCGTCCACTTGACCGCAGCGATCCGACGGTGCAGTGTAACGCATCGAGAAGGAGCTCAACACTACCCTAGGATTATCTTCCATGCGTACGAAGAGGATTGCCATAGGAGGTAATCTTATGGTTGTCCCAATGGCCGTGGTCCACCCCCTTCTGCGTTCGCAGTTCTAGACACAAGGGTAAGCCCACCATCAGTCAACCAATCTGCCAATCTGCCAATGTGGCAAGCATGATTTCTATGCCCGGCGCCCTTGAAATTTTTCAATCGCAATTGCGGACATGGTGTTTCACTCCTTACCGGCTTCGTCTCCACCAGGCCGATACTGTAAACCGTCCCCAGCATAGACCAGCCGCGCGTCGATTCGGATTATATCATACTAGGTGTTGAAATCCGAATCTTCTATCGAAGTGGAATTCTATCCTTGAATATCGCCTCCGGTTTAGTCGAGACATCAGGAATTCTAACTACCGCCAGGCCATAGGGCCTACACGCACATACACATACACACATACACACATACACAAAAGACGGACAAGACAGAAAAGACAGCATGACATCCGTTAGCAACACATACGCGCAGAGGCTTACCACCGGGATCGTGGTAACATGTCTTGCGTTGTCAGTGATTTCCTTCGGCCTTCGAATATATGCGAGAAAAGTGTCGGCGGCAAATCTTTGGTGGGATGATTATTGGATGTCGTTGCCTATGCTTATATGTATAGCTATGAGTACGAATGACTTCGTCGGGCTCGTGTACGGATCTGGCCAGCACCAAGCGGATTTAGACAACCAGACTGTGCAAAGTTTCATGAAGGTGGGAAGGCTTCTCAGCTCGTTCTCGACCTCTGGTCGCGCTTAGTGATGGGCCTTAGCTGACAGCTCGAGCAAAATAGAATCTCTATCTCTATGAGATATTCTGGTCGATTGGAGTCTTCAGTGTTAAGGTCGGCATCCTCATTTTCTACTGGAGAGTCTTCCACACGAGAGCGTTTCGCGTATCGGCAATTGCAGTTGGGACATTTTCCCTTATGATCTTTCTAGTCAACTTCTTCACCTTTGTTTTTCAATGCACTCCGATCAAGAGCTTCTGGGAGGGAAACCTAGAAGACTGCATCGACCGGAACGCATTCTACTTGGCGTCCGCCATCATTAACGTCGCCGGTGATATTGCCGTGTTAACCCTACCATTGCCCGTCGTTTGGCGTCTACACACCTCCAGGAGCAAGAAATGGTCGCTAAGCTTTCTATTCCTTCTCGGTGCCTTGTAAGTTTGATCAAATCCGTGTCTACTGTGATCTTATTATCCGGCTAAACTTATTGGTTAAGCGTATGCATTGCAAGCATCTTTCGCATTGTTGGAGTTTACGAAATCGATCCAGCCGACTTTACTTTTAGCAACCTCGCCGGAGGTCTTTGGAGTACCGTCGAGGTTGAAATAGGGTTCATATGTGCGAATCTTCCGGCTATCCGACCCGTCGTCTTCAAGTGGTTCGGACTTGGTAGCTCGGCGCCTGGATACGCATCTGGCAGCGCCGGTCCGAGACAATACGGCATCTCTAGCAAGGGAGCAACCAGATCTGGCCATGTCATCCTTCGAAGTAGGAACCAAGAGTCGGACGTGCTCGATTCAGACACGGAAGCGCTTACTAACACTAGAGGGACGAACGGTGACGCGCAGCAAGGCCAAGCCTTTGGACTAGCCGAGATCGTCGTTCAAACGGATATCGGTGTCTCGATAGACTCCAAGCAGTCCCAATCCCATGATGAAGAACCGAATCACTTTGTTCGGATAACAGCACCACGTTCAGGTACGGTTGATTTACCGGGGACCGGAAAAGATTATTATAATTAGGGCTGGATTTACCAAATACATACATAGGTACCCAGGTAACATCAAGATACGAACATGTTCTTTTTCATGCACATACAACCATAGCTTAATAATATCAAATGCATATATGATATACACATGCATACAGTACATACCTTAAGTACCTACTTATACTGATCGACTTCTCACCTGATGTTGATGTTTGTACCATGTTCATACCATTGTTCGTACGGAGAGGCCTCGAGAGTCAAGACGGTCATCGAAGTCCTCTATCATCAGATACAGCGCTACTTTCATGACATCGGTGTCACCAAGGCGCAGTTAGTTCTCGGAAGTGTCCGAATCGTCGACGAGTCGACGAAGCACGAACCTACTTCTACCTATTAATATGTACATTATTCTTTAGCCGCTCACCCCCTGTAAAAAAGCAAAAGCCAAGTTGTCTGTGCTTTTCCGATCTCGACGATTTGTTAACGATTTCAGATAGGAATACGGAGTAATCAAAAGCAAAACATATTCACTAGGGTACCCGGAAGGATTATTTGCATGATCAACATCCCCCCGGATATTATCGTAAATATTCTTAATGTATAATGCGCTATAAGACAAGTACGGCGGTACATTGAAGTTGGTACCTATTATATTATATATACTTAAGTATTTCCTAAGTTTTTACCCACCGAGAAACCCAAGTCCTAAGTACTTAAGTAGGTATTTTTGAATGTTATATAAGTACATAAATGACTTCTTAATCACATAAAATCAGATAATTTAATGGTACCGAGGCGCGCGGGTGCAACCCGACATAGGACCAAAAAGGTAATTGGGAGTAACAAGCCGAAGTAAACTTACTAGGTAGGGTCGGTCGTCATTACGTACCCGGACCTACCTAGGTACCTACCTGGTACGCATCTTCTGGCATGTTTTACATCCATGGATACGCTATAATCCAGCTAAGCTAACTGGGGGTGGGATGTAGCATTGCCGGTGAAAGGCCCCCCCTGTTCGAGGTATGCAGATAGACCCTGTAAAGGTCAGCATGCAGCCGTGCTATCTACACTATAATGATCGGTGAAGCTTGACTGAACTACGGATCATCCACACGTGCTCCACAGTCAGGATGGGTAGTAGTTGTCACTTTCCCGTCCCATCTTACATATGTCCTCTATAATACGCATTGAGCATGCTGTCGGTATTGTTGTGATGCTACTCTCATTACCTTTGCCACGAGGTAGCAGTAGTCGAACTTGGTGGTAAGAAGTATTATGGAACCGGCGGCCTGCCCGCCTGTCATCCAAAACCAAATAGAATGAGACCTGCAACAAGATGTAGGGGGGGAAGAGAAATGGCTCGAACAGGTAACATGTCGTCCGGCGGATCCGACCTCCTATCCAAAGACCGTCGTATTTCATTTCCAGCTCATGTGTGGCACAGTTATGCGTATTTGTCTTTTATGCAAGATTTTATGCTGCCCTGGCAGCCTGGGCGGTTATGAAAGCTTCCATAATATTATTTCTTGCTGCATTAATATGCCTTAACTTGCATTAATGACGATTGCTAGTATATTATTGGCGTATATTTAATACTAGAAGGTCGAAGCTTGTCGTATCATAGACTAGAGCTATACCTTAAGTCAACTCACTTGTGGCTGACTTCTCATACACCATTAATATTACCCTCTTCTTTTGCGCTGAAAACCCCCATAGGATTTCTTACTACCATTCGAACTATACCAAACAAGGGACTATTTGTTAACTGATTAAGAAAACTTCATTTTTATTAAATACACATCAACCTGCCCCATTCGGACCACATGGCTTAACAGTGCCAAGGCAGCAAACACCGCAATGCCATGTAAGATTACCTACCTCCTAGGTATATATTGCAACGGTCAAACAGTGAGCTGGTAAGCTTAACAACGTACATACGTATCTATATATTACTCAAGATGTCATCTGTATATGAGAGAAAAATATATAAAATGAATTCGTGAGGTTATTCTTGGTTAGATCATGATCACGACACAACCGCGACGCTACCAGATAAGAAAAATTTACTAAAAATAAACGGATAAATAATAATAAACCACAGGATAGTATTAATGTTTACATTCTTGGCCCTATCCAGCATAAGATATAATGTCATAATTATATTTATCGGTCAATGTCCATTATTCGCTTGAATGTGCTTAGGAGAACTAGTCCATTAATGATACTATAACCAAGGTTAAATAATAAAAAAAGTATTTTTTTTCTTGAAAAAAAAAACAGAAGGGAAAAAAGTATAGGTAAAGTACATCTAACTGTCGTATCAATTCAAATACTAGCTCGAGAATAATTAGACGAATGGGCGAGAACTCCCTCGGCTGCTTGGTTAAGAGAAACATCCACGGCAAGGAGGTAAGGTATTTCCTGAGAAACAACTTGGAAGTAATATTCGACGTATTGTATAGTTCTACAAGCACTAAAATTGATGAGAGCATGATATTTATATCCCATCCAAAATGCAAGTGTGTTGTTATCGCCGAAGCTACAAATTCCCGATGAGCTCAATCATCGAGTAGTTGAGGTAGATATGACCTATTGTACCAATATCCAATCGATGATAACGGGTAATACACGGTAATAATATACGGAAAGTGAAACATTGAGACGTTTCATGTCGGTAGAGTATGGTACAGTGCTTGAAATCACAGCCGGAAATAAATTCCTAACCTTAGTATTATAAAATATACAGAGAATGGAATTAACGACGCATCTGCAAGAATGCCAGCGTGGTCAGGCTCGAGAGACAACTCAAGCGGTCTTGCAATTCAGAAAAGACTCGTCACGACCTAAACTCCGGGCGGGAATAACTAATCATTACAGTAACCTGGCATCGTATCCGCATCAGAACTCATAACGCCCCAATCGTGGCTCGTCGTAAACCCCAAGTCATTAGTTCTGGATCCCTTAAGGTCATCTAGACCTACTCGGCCCGGCCTCGGTAATTACCCATCTTCTCGATGGAGCTCATGATGCCACTCCGCATACCCATGCCACTACCAGGGCGCGGGATACCACCGTGAGATCCACCATTCTTGCTTCGTTCGTGAGCGATCCCGCTGATCCCACCGATCCTACTTTCTGTCGGCTTTTTCACCGAGCCGGGGGCCCTCAGACCCGAGACTCGACCACCAACGCTGCTCCGGAAATTATCGGGGCCGGGAGCCGGATGGGCCTTAGGAATGGACGGTCGGGCTGGAGGAGGTGGCCTCTCTTCCACCTGAGTGGCAAGGCTCTGTATAGACATCATTTCTTCGGCTAGCATGACTAACTCCCCCTTCTCGACGCGCTCCCTCTCGAGGAGTTGACGGAGCTCGCGGTTGTCCGACTTAACACTATTAACGACGGCCTCGAGCTTCTCAATCTCTGCATTCAGCTCCTTGATTTGTGCCGAGTCCTTGACAGCTTGAGCCTTGCGCTCTTCGTCTATGATGCTCTGGTTGGGGTCGACCTTTGTCATCGTAGCATCGCGTCCAAGCTTTAGTTTCTCGTTCTCATCCGCCAGATCCTCCAACTTGATCTCGAGCTCGCGAACCCTTTTCTCCCAACGGTTCTCGTAGCTCTTCTTTAGCGCTGTAACTTTAGTCTCATGCTTGCTCTTGTAGAGTGCATGTAATTCGCGAGCGACTCGCTCCACCGCAATTTCGACTTCGCGAGATCCGACATTCTTAGTCTTGTCGGGCGACCTGTTGCCTCCCGGCTCGGTCCCAGATTCCGAAGTAGCCTTACCGGCGCGCATGCCCGCCATCTTACTCTCGGCCTCTTGTGCCATGATCTCGGCCGCTTCGCGACGCTTCTCGCTCTCCTCCAACTTTGATTCGAGCTCTTCGCGCTCTCGATGGCTCGTAACGATTTCTTCCTTGACCTTGCGGAGCACAGCTTCCATTTCCCGGCCGCGCTTCTCCCAATTGTCCCTGTCCTCCGTCAAGGTCTCTTTGATGATTCGTATCTCACGGAGCTCCTCCAGGCATTCGCCCACTCGCTTTTCGGCATCGCCTACTGCCGTCTTGAGCGAGGAGACCTCGGCCTCCTTGCCGCTAAGCGAAGCTTTGAGACCACTGATCTCCGAGAGGAAGCCTGACTTGAGTGACTCGAGCTCTCTTGGCGTTATAGTAGGTATGCTGCGAGGCGTAGGGAGGGGGGGGATATCGAAGTCGAGCAAGTTGGATTGTTGTCGTTGGGGGGTCGCGGTGACTAAATTTCTCGGAGTTCTACCGGTCGGTTGATTTCTGCTAGGTGTCTGCCGGACATATCCAGAAGACAATCCATTGATCTGCTCTGTGAAGTCCACCAGTAGATTGGTCGTGTTGCCAGATTCGTGCATAACGGGAGGCCTAGGGGTTCTTAAAGGCGATGTTTCCCGGCGTGTTGGTACTGCGACGGGAGTGGTGTCCACGTTAGCAAATTTGGTAGGACTGTGTCCAATGCGTGCGAACATGGTCAAGTTCGGTACGGCAGAAAAGTTGCTAAAGGTACTAATCATGGTATCATCGGGGCCTGCAGGCTCATCTTCAACTGGCTGGTCACTAGCGGACATGGTCGTGATATCACCCTCATCATCCTCTGCAGTTTCCAGTATTGTGTCTTCATCCTCGAAAATTTTGATAGCGTGCGCCAACCCTTCATTTTGAAGAAGTACCTCTTCAATGGACATATCTTGCTCTTGCACTGGAGGTGTCTGGATTTCGGGAGATGGTGATGGACTGCTGCTGATTTTGACGGGAAAACGCTTCTCCGGTGATATCTTTCGTGGACTCTTAATAGGCGATGGCTTATTCAGATAAGATCGAGGCTCAGCATCACTCTTGCCATCTTTGGTGATTAGGATCTTGAGAGGTGTGAGTTCGGTACCAGATAGTATTCTGGAATGACGCGACTTGGATGGTGAGACGTTTTCCTGATTATGACCGGTATTATCTTTATTATCATCGGTCGGAGAGTTCATCTGGGTGCTCGCGGCATCACCGTCATTGGTGACATGTTCACTAGTCATATTCGTTGGATGCGATTGGACTTCGTATTTATCTAAGTGGCGACTCTTTGATGGCGTTGGCGTTGGTGTTGTAAGATTAAGTGTCGCGTTACTGGAGGGGGTGAGTGGTAAAGCCATGAAATGTTTCAAAGAATTAACCTAACGGATAATGGTGGTCAAATGAATTAGTCGACCATACGACCATGTAAAAGGATTGGAAGGTGGTGGGTAGTGCAGTTCAAATATGTACTTAGTTGAAATGCAGGTGGTTGCGAGTCGATGCAAAAATTGGGAATTGAGAAATTGAATTCCGACCTGTGCTTAATTTGATCTTCTTTTGTTGACGGAGCAACACCGGTACACAAAATACGTAATCCCTGTCACACAACTTCTTCATTCTAGGGCTTAGCGTATCCTTGGTAACGTCTCCAAGGCACGTGATTCGTTCGTTGCTGATTGTGACATAGATCTGTGCGTTCATTGGATGTTCACAGAGCATTTATGTACATGTGCAACTAAGATTTGTTATCCATACATACCTCATGTTGATAAAGTCAATCTGAATTAATAATAACATTCTATTTATATTGAACTAGAGAGGTTTCAAAATTTTTGGCATATCCACAGATAGGTAATACCTACCAGTCTTCTTTCACTAGGTACTTTTCTCTCTGCTTTGATAGTGACTCCATCATTTAATACAATACCAATATTACGATATTAGATCACATCGCCTGTATTCGACGCTAGATATGGCAACTTAAACATTACACAAACTTTAGAAAATATAATACCTAGTTACTATTAAAAGTATGTGGTTATTCTCATGTGGAGGAGATACGACTTCACGCTTGGGCTACAGACTTGTGTCGTTGTCTCGAACCATTCATACCTTATAGTTATCCCATCCAATTGAAAGATGGGATATCCAGGGAGCCTAGAGCTGACCCGGTTCAACCACCCTCTGCCTATTCGTTCTCCACTTCAGAATAGGTACCTAGTTACCAAAATTAGCATAGTCTTTAAGATGCGAATGGGGGCAGAAATGTTGATTTCGGTTCGCCTATAAATATATCTAGCACAGCGCCCTCTTATTAATCCACCTCAGCCAGGTAAAGAAAAAATAGTTTGGGAATACGGTGGTAGAAAAGCATGACCCTAGCTTACCATAAACCGACATAGGGTATGCTTAAACCTGGATAAACGTTGTATTGCATTACTATTTCTACTATTATCCCAAGTTAGTTGCAGTAAGCCATTTGGGGTGAAGACAGTATAATCATAGACGAGCCGGTGAACTCTAATACGTCTAAGGCCTAAACTCATTAAGTAAGTCACCATGAAATATAAGGTATTCATTCTTGCCCTGGTGATATTTATGCACCTCGCGCCTATCAACAAGCCTCGACAAGCTTGATTTGCGAGAAGACTGACCTAGGTAGTGGCCGAATGCATAGCATGGCTTAGGTTTCACCTGTGAAATATTATCAGCGGCAATGATCGAAGGGAATGAATAAAAGTCCCTGCTTTTTATGCTTGGTACATTGCATGGTATATTCAAAAATGAGGAACTCGGAGCTTCTCGCGTATCTCGTTATTCATGTACCCCTTAGTTCTGCCTCGCAGTAGATACATTATAATTTATTATTCATCACGAGGTGCATCTAAAAGGTATAATAACAATGATATCGTCACGCGAACAGCTCTAGACCCCGCTTGCCGTTGAAATGATGCTGTATGCGTATAAGAAAAGACCTTTATGTATCCCTGCTGCAGTGGTAGAAACTAATGTGTCTACCTAAGATCGCTTATAGGTTATCACAGTCATGATACAAGCCCTATAGCGTTACTGCGAGGCAAACGCGTACCCACGCATAGAAGGCTTCGCCGTCGATAGTTAGGAGATTAGGTATCCAGAGAGAGGCCCCTAGTTGGAAACTGTGCTATAGAGTGAGTGATAGCAGTAATTAACTGATTATAGGCTCGTTATAAGTTCGTGGAATAGCAATAGTTAGATTTTAACAGTGACTGGCGCATAGCCCCTCCCTCTCATACCCTAGTATCAGGCGTTATCTTGGTCACGCTTCTATCCCTATACTTCGCTACGAGGTGCCTGTGTTATTATATATCTTAGTTATTTATAACAAGGCGTCAGAAGTCTGGTCTGCAAGGGGGGGTTGCTATGAGTAGGGATGTTAGTTGCTACTTTTGAAAGCAGAGTAGACAACAAACCTTTATCTACATGTATACCGTTCTACCTCAACAATGGTAGGCTAGAGCTCTTCGCGCAGCAGCGTTTGTGTTCCTGTGCCTTTTATTTCCGCCTCGTGACACAATACAATCATCAAGGGCCCTGTCGGAACACTAACTACTGGTCCTTCAGCGTACCAAGATTCCGGTATTGTCCTCTGCCTAGGGACCTTGTTAAGCATATAAGTTTTCCTTCCCTCTTGCCTTTTTCCTTGGGGGTTTCCAGGGGGCTGACCATACAAGGCCTGATCTAATTAGTTGGTGTCTGGTCCTGTTGGCAATTACCCGGTTCTGATATACCTGGCATTGATAAGGAGTATGGCTTGTTTATGTGGTTACGGCCACCCTGAGAAGATAAGGTGGTTTGTGATGATACCTTATTCACTTAGGCCACTGCTAACGTGCCTAGTACCTACCTTAGAATAAGGTTGACGTAAATATTAAGTACGAGGTATGAAAACGCAGGTAAATAGTATAAAAATAAATTATATTCCATGGAATTTTCAAGTCGGTTAAAAATACTTTTTATTATATATACTTATTATTATTATTATTTTACCGTTAAAGTAAAAATTTATTTAATTTTTTATATTTTATAAGTAAATTATAATAAATATACCGTATAAATGGTTTTTTAAATATATTATATATAATTTATATTTAAAATTTACATTTTTAAAATTTTTAATATTAAAAAAAAAACATTATAATAAAACGGTTTAATACGTATAATAAGTTAAAACTTCTCGTTTTTTTATAAAAACTTATAATTATTAATTCGAATTTATATAAATTCGAACACGATATTTAATTATATTTCTTCGAAAACGCTTATTCGAATCGAATTAATATCGTTATTTTTTATATATTTAAAAAATACCATTAATATTTTTAACTTTAACTTTTTATTATTTTATATGAAATTACTTTATAATAATATTTTATAATAATGTTAAAAATTTAAGTATTAATTATTTAAGTTTATTTTTAAATTAAATAAAAATTTAAATTATTATTATTAAATATTATTTTTATTATTTACTTATTAATTACGTTAATATAATATATGTAAAAAATTTAATAAAATTATTTATATATTATTTAATTTTTTTTATTTGTTTTAATTATAATATAATCGTTAATTAATTTATTTAATATAAATTTATCGGGTAATTTTTTTTTCGTTTTAATTAAATGTTTTTAATTTTTAAAAAATTAAAAAAAATTTTATTAAAATTAAATTAAACGTTTTAACGTATATTAAAAGTATAAAAATTTAATTAAATTTATAAATTTATTATAACGATGTTAAAGTTTATAATATTAACGTAACGAAAAATAAAAACTTTTTCCGTTTTATTAATTAAATTATATATATTACGAAATATAACGTTTTAATTTTTCTTAATTTTATATAATTAATTTAATAAATTCCTTAATTTTTTAAAAATGACGAAAATATTTTTTAATGGTTTATAAAAAAAGGTTTTAAAGATTAATTATCGTTATTATTTATATAATTTTTTTTTTTTTAAAAATTTTAATAAAATTTAAAAATAATAAACTTAATTTTTATTATTTAAATAAAACGTTATACGTTAAAAAAGCTTTTTTATTTATTTTTATATATATTTAAAACATATATTACTTATAAATTAACGTTATTATAATATACGATATTTAAAATTTTATTTTTTTTCGAAAATATATTTTTTAAAAAAAAAAACACATTTACATTTAAAAATTATATTTTATTATTAATGTAAATTAAAAAAAATAAAAAAATAATTTTATTTATATATATTAATTATATAAATTTAAATAATACGTAAATAAAATAATTATTTAAAATTAATAATTTATATTAATTTTAATATTATAATTTTATTTTTAATAAAAATATTTAAATTATTTAATAATTTATTATTATTTTATTTATTTAATTAAAAAAAATAATTATATATTTTTATTTAATAACGTATTATTTAAATTATTAAGTTTAAATTTTTTTCCCGTTAAATAATATAATAAAAGTTTTTTTATATTTTTTTTTAAAAATATATTTAATTATCGTTATTTATATTATCGTTATTAATTTAATTATTTAAATGCGATATTTTTAATTAACTTTTAACATTTTTTTTAATAAATTTTTTTTTTATAATTTTATTTTATTTATATTATATTTATTTAAAAGTATAATATTAAATTATTTTCGTACGTTAATTAAAAAAAAATAAAAATTTTAAATTATTTTTTTTTTAAATTTATAAAAATATTAAATTTTTATTAATTTTTTTATTATCGTTAAAACGTTTTTATATTTTTATATAAACTTATTAATTTATTTATTTTTTAAAAAAATTTATTACTTTAAACTTAAAAAATAAATTTAATAAATTTAATAACGATATATTTTAAAAAAGTTTTTTTATAATAATTTTCGTTTATTAATTAATTTATTATTTTCGTTTTTTAATTAAATATAAACTTTTATAAAAATTTAATAATTTTATTATAAAAATAAATTTTATAAAATCGTTATAAAAAAATAAATTTAATAAATATATATTTTTTAATATTATTTTAAATTAAAAAACTTTTTCGTATATTTTATATAATACGTATAATACGTTTTTCGTAATTTTTATAATTTTTTATTTTTAAAAATTTAATTAATAATTTAATATTATTATAATATAAAAAAAAAAAGTTTATTATCGAAAAAATAATTAAAAGTAATTTAAATTTTTACTCGATTTAAAAATAAACTTAAACGGTTAATTAATTTTCGAAATTTTTAACGCATAATATAATTTTTATTAATAAAATATAATGAATGATATAAAAGGAAAGAATATTTTATATATAATTTAAAACTTAATATAAAAGATTTTCTTTTATATTTTATTTTATTTTAAATTCTTTTCTTATTTAATAATTATTATTTATTTTCTTATATAAATAATTTTACAATTTAGTAGTTTTACATTTATTTATGTGGTCCGCCACGCGCTTAATATAATTTTTTACTGTTAAATTTA